TCCTGAGCTGCAGCAGCGGATTCTGGTCCAGAGAGTCTGCCTGTAATTATAATTTGACACATGTGTTTTCTCACTGTGCATAAGGTATTTCTGCTAGCTCATGAACTTGAGGGCTGTGTAAAGAATTTCTCAGTGAGGCCTGGTGTAGACATACCCTCAGTGTGGTATCTACAAATAGCGCATATGTGTTTTAACTTCTGTTTATGTTCCTTTTATTTGTTCTTTTGGTGGCACACCATACATTTTACAGAATAATAACCTGCAGTTATTTGTTTACCCCAAAACTATCTGATTTAATCAATCTTTCCCTGACTGATGAGCACAAATACCAGGAGGCCTGATTTCTACTAGACATCTATAAAAAGATTTAATAATGATTGGATTCGATTGATCAAAGGGAGCAAGCCATTGTTTTACCAGTACTTGAAACCCTTCCTCCCTCCCTCATCTCCCTAGACCTGGTTATTTGACAATCAGGTATCCAGAATGAGCAAATTACCTGGTTATTTGACAATGAATTAACTAAAATATAGCCCAACCCACCAAATATTCTAATTTCTTTAGAATTAGCCCATTTTTTTCTTTCTAGCTCAACAAAAAGATATGCTCTTCCATCTGCTTGTTAGGCATCATAGTTTTTTTAAAAAAGAAAATACTGCAGTTTTAATTTCACAATGAGATTTTTATAGTAAAGATGAACTAAAGCCTGGAATTTGCACATTTTTTAATTTTGAGGTAGAGATTTGAGACAACTTCTGACTTCCAAACACTTCTCCAGTTTCTGGATCATGTCCACAACAGGCAGGGGATCTTCTGAAATACCCGCCATCTTGGGCTGAAATCTCAGAAAAACAACTTATGACATTTCAGCCATAACCTTACCAAAACCTTTATTTTGACACTGTCGTATCTGAACCAGAACTCTAGCCTAAATCTGATCTAGATCTGGATCCTCACATTGCTTCTGCAGTCCATCTTTCCCATACTATGTACTCAGGGAGCTCCTACTCTGGACAGGTAGAGTTTTATACTTGCAGTTTGTTTTCATATGATAGAACTACTGACTTTTCTACAGAAGGAAGGAGGAATTTGCATGTCAAAGCATTTCAGCACCACCTCTTAAGTGGTAAAAATGACCGCTGACAGAATAGGTGGGGGGAGGGATAGCTCAGTGGTTTGAGCATTGGCCTGCTAAACCCAGGGTTGTGAGTTCAATCCTTGAGGGGGCAATATAGGGAACTGGGGCAAAAATTGGGGATTGGTCCTGCTTTGAGCAGGGGGTTGGACTAGATGACCTCCTGAGGTCCCTTTCAACCCTGATATTCTATGATTCTATGTTGTATGCAACTGTGAGTCCTATACAAGTAGAGTATGTAGCTGTTCTTCACATTGCTGCATATCCATTAGATAAATCTGGCAATTCAAAAAACTAATGTTAGTTTGACTGTGTATCCAATCAAGTAAGCCAGAAAGTCATTAAAAATAGAACCAAAATAATATTGACAAAAATAGCCTTCATCCAACCATTGAGCTTCTATTTAGAGTCCATTGGCTATATTAGATATCTAAAATGATAAATCATATTCAATGGCAAGAAACTTGGTTAACAGAGTAAATGTTTCCCAGTGACAGCTCATGTCCTTCTAGGATGTTGAACTCCGCAAAGCTCCAACTTCAGAAAACCAGGAAATACAGAGGTAAGATAAGTGCTCACGTAACCTTGACGCTCTCCCCCTGGAACTGGCAAGAAACCACTGGCACTTATCCGCATGCAGCAGCTGCATTCAGTGTGTGATTTGTAGCTGTACTGAATGGCTTGAATAGTGGAGGCAGGAGGTGGGACAGGCTGGCAGAGGTGCGTTGGATCTGAGGAGATGGGAATTACTCTGAGGAGCATCACAGAGCTGTGATTCTGATATGAGTAGATCAGGGTTTTGGGCCCATGCTATGTATACTCGTAAAGGCAAAGGAAGCATGTGTACACTGTGGAGCTAGTCTGCATCATTTTATTGAAAAACTGGGTAGGTTGTCTCAGTAGCAAGGCACGAGGGGTGAGGCTTGCCATGGAAATTCTCAGTAGTGAGGTGGGATATATGAGCAGTCTGTTGGTTTAATGATAGGTAAGGAAAAATATAGGTTTAGATGGTATCGTGTGAGTCAGTGTGAAGTGGTTGTTGCATTTTACAAGTGTGGCATTCTGTCAGGGGAGCCGGTTAAGTGTTTGCATGTAGGGCAGATGCAAGTAGCTACCTGCAAAAAGTAATATAGCAAAATGGCAGAATGTGAGTATGTGTGTGATGATGAGCGTTTGGGAGCACAGCTCCGAGAGGGCAGTGTTAAAATTACGTTACCTTATCTCTGTATTCCCTGGTTTTCTTAAGTTCTGTGCACAGCTTAGCCAGTCTGGGTCTCTTCTCACATCCTCCAATGTTTTGTCAGTAGGTGCAGAACAGGGGTGTACACATCCATGTGCAGCACTGGAGGCTCAGAGGTAGCCTATTCATCTCAACGTGATGCTCTCACCTAAAAACAAAACACCTCAAGGAGTTGAATAAAGCCTGAAGCAATAGCTCTGAGATGTGTTAACTCCTCCATTTGTGTCAGTGGGTGTTCTCATCCTTTACAATGCTGGAGAGTGTCTGGTATGTGTCAGTCATGCCCCTTCTCAGCTCCTCACTCCAGTGTGTTCTTGGCACATGGTCTGAGCATGCCTATTCTGAGCTATCCACTCGGGGGGCAGGGCTTCCGCAGATCCTGACTCACATGGGAAAGGGGAGTAAAGAGAGGGTGGTCAGACAGCCCCAGTAAGTCAAACCCCTCCCCAGGACTTGGGTCCCATGAACGGCAGCAGGGAGGATGGTTGATCCCCACAGATGGGCAGCTCCCCCAGATCTTGTCACACATGCACTGGAGCAGGGAGGGGACTCAGACACCACTGGGGCAGGCAGAGTTTCCCAGATCCTACCAAACATGCGGGGCAGGGGATAGGGGTAGGGAATGGGTCTCAGACTGTCCATATCCTGGCTCATGCACACACAGAATGGCAGAATATGGGGCTGACAGGTGCCACACCCTATTCTCCCCCAGCCCCCTGCCACTCCCCCTCACCTGAGCCTCCCCAACACCTGTGATAATACAGAATGATGGATATATTTCAATTATTCAAGTTATTGCTTATGAATAGTGTTGTAAACTAATAAGGTTTATGTCTCGCCTCCACTGATGTAAATTAGTAATAGTAACTCCATTGAAGTGAATGGAATGAAACCAGTGCAAAATTGGTGTGAGAAAAGATTTAGGCCCAAGCTCTGTCTTGAGGATGTGTTTGTTTTACACTCATCAAGTTGTCATGGATTGCACTCACATAACATAGTGATGGGCAACAAAGATGAACTGGATGGATAGATTTCACAGAAAATGTGAAGTTGATTATTTGCCATGAAACACACAAAACTTCATTGGAAAATGTGAAAATTAATTTTCTGCCTCTTTTTCACTTCGAGCAGTTTGTCTGGCATAGAGAGTTTACCTCTCCCACATCAAAGACATAACAGTGAAAATCTTGAAGAACAATGCAGTCACAACATATTACCTCAACTGCAAGGTACAGTATATAGGTATATAACATACTGCAAACAGGTATGTGTGGAAAGCCCACATGACTGAGCTGGAATTTTCTAACCTACAGCATATTTTCCTATTGATGCACAAGTGCAAGCCTTTTCAGCAGCTCCTGAAAGATAGAAACCTAGTATTTCACAGAACTGTGCTGCCCAATGTATCTTTGATGGATGCCTGGCTTAACTCTTTCCAAAAAACATTTTGAAACTCTGAAATAGTTGAGGGGAGGGGAAAACAAGTGTGCAAATAAACAGTTTTGTTTTTAAAAAAAAATGAAGAGGATTAGTGCAAGTCATATCCTCTTTTCTCATATTTACATTCAGATTTTTAATGGCACTTGACTCTGAAATCATTCCAGTAAAGCGGAAAATTAATATTTTAATATGTCTACCTCTCCAGCAACTAGAAATAAGTAAAGTGGAATAAGTATTAGAGAAGAAAATATTTTACTATTAACTATATGTATGAATATCTATCATCACTTAGAATCATAGAATCATAGAATATCAGGGTTGGAAGGGACCTCAGGAGGTCATCTAGTCCAACCCCCTGCTCAAAAGCAGGACCCATCCCCAATGAAATCATCCCAGCCAGGGCTTTGTCAAGCCTGACCTTAAAAACTTGCCATCACACATCTGCTTATCAGGTGCCCTTTCACTTATATACACACAGTAAATCACTATGGGAATCACAGTAACAATTATTTTTATGTTGAACAGAAAAGAGGGTGATAATTTATTTTGTATATCTTTGATTAGATTTTACCATAGTTTTTCACTGAATGAATCCAGTGGTATCAAGCATATCTAATAAAAAATCATTATACAAGGGAGTCATGGAATTATACAATTCTCCTTTACCTATAATAAAAAGTGTATTTTGGTAGGGGGATAGAATGCTAGAGGAGAAAACAAATGCATTTCCTTTCAGCCTTCAGCAATGTCTACATTTTTGGTTCTGCTTAAGGGTTAGACTTGCAGAAAAATTACCCACCTGGTTTAGGTCTCTGTATCTTTTTTAATGAGTTTGTTTCAGTGATTCAACAAGTAAATGTCAGTTTTACAGGAGCCTGAACTGGTGGGTGGGTGGATTTTAGCTGAGTATGTTTGTGCAAACAAAGCAGCTACAGGCGTTTGATGAAGAGTAATGCTTCTGCCCCACAGAAAGGCTAATTATACAATCAACAGCTGGATTGTGTGTAGCCTCTTATTTTTCAATTTGGTGGTAACTGGAGGGGATTTTAAGTACTGTGAAATAGACAATGAACGTTTTGGCTAATGCTAGGGATAGTGTTTCCAGGCACTGTGTGAACTTTGCCCCCACCTGTGTTTCTGCTAGCACAGAATCAGACTTGATTTGAAATACCTCTGCTATTCCAGCACTGAGACTCTCCGGAACAAAGGAGTAAGACCATTAAGTCAAGAGGAAGAACTTAAAGTATCAATAGAAATCCAAACCACCATCTGTGGCTATGAGCCTTGCCAAGACCTGGCTGGTGCAAGGCACCCATGAGCATCTAACTTGCTACTTAATATAAATTGTTGATGCTTATTTGGAGAAAGCAATGTTCTACCCTATCTAAAAAAAAAAAAAAAAAAAGGTAAAGGGCTTCAGTGCCAACAAAATAATGAATGTTACAACTAACCTTACCATCTAATACCACATGCCTAACCCCAGTTCATGAGCAAGATAAATGAGAAGCTAGTGATGAGTCAACTCCATTTACAGCTGATCTCCACCAATGTCCAGAACCCATCACAATCAGTTTTTCAGAGTAGCTCAGAAATGGGGCTGGTGGCACTAGTGGAATATTTCCTCTTAGCCATGTCCATGTTCATAACATTGGCTATCTGAGCAGCATTCAGCATGGTCAATCATAAAGTCTTGCTGGTCCTTATAGACTTGGCACTGTGAAAGATGCAGTGAACTGTCTCAGGCCCTTCTTCTAAAACCTGTCCCGAATGCTGGTGATGGGTGATTACGGTTCTGTCCCCACAGCTCTAACTTGTAGACTTCCTTCTTTTCCCTGTCACATCTGTATGTAAAATTCCAACAGTATGTGGACAATACCCAACGATAAATCTTCTTAACTTCACATGCTAACAACACCTGCACCCATGTCCCCCAGTCCATAAATGAGATCAGTGACTGGATTAAGAGCATCTGGCTGAAACTACACCTGTAGAAGACTGAGGTAATGCCCACTGAAAAGGAAGTAATATTTCAAATGAGATGGTCTCTCTCCCACCACTGCCCACTCTGTGGTCTATTAAGGATAGCCATGACGCTGCGACAGCACAAAGACACTTTGCTCCAGACCGCTTGATACTACACTCCTCCCAGTGTGTTGGGGAGCCATAGGAAGGCAGTGTGTGAGCACAAGAACAGCCTTCCTGTAACAGAAAAGAGAGAAGAAGGAGGGGACAAAGATGGCAGAAAGGAATGTTGACAGAAGGATGAAGGGAGAAGTACTGGCTCTCAGGAATCTATGTCCCACATTTGGTGGAATGTCTGTGTTTCAGATAGCAGCACACCATAAAATGTATGGATGCAGCTAATCTACCTATTTCAGATAATATGGGGCCAAATCCTAGTCTTTTCACACACTTTTTCCCCAGGCAGTGCTCCCATTCATTTAAATGGGAGTGTTGCTATGATGGGGTGGACTAGATCTGGAGGCCCCCTGCTGGAGGCCTCGTGACCCTGTCTCACCCTGCCCCTGGAAAGATCAGAGGAGAAGTCCTCCAGGTGGCCTAGTGTGGCTGAAGGGGGCCAGCCAATCGGAGGGCCTGCTGGAGCAGCCAGTCAGGGGCTAGGAGGGCCATATAAAAAGAAGAAGCAGAGACAGAGCAGTCAGTTGCTTCATAGAGCTGGAAGAGATAGCACTAGGTTCCTAGCTGGCTGGAAGAGCAGCAGGGCCATGGACAGTTCAGTGTGGGCAGGGCTGAGCCTGGGGAGGGTGGCTGCCAAAGGGCTGGGGGAGCTAAGAAGGAGCTTCTGGCTGGCTGCAGGGACCAAGCAAGGACTGAGCTCAGAACCAAGCCAGAACAATCAAGGGTACTGCAATGGGCCCTGTTGCTCTGGTTACAGACTAAACCCGGAGGAGGGAGAGGGGGACTGCTGAATGGAGGGTATCACGATGGGCCCTTTTGGACTGGTATAGACGGTAGTGTCTCCAGGAAGGAAGGGTTGGTGGAAGGTAAAGACTGTATTCCCCAGAAGGGTTTGTTCTGTTCCACTCACAGATGGTGTGTGTGACTTGGCTGGAGGGCTGAGTCACTGAAGACCAGCTAAGGAAACCATTGGCCAGGTGGGGGACTGCTCATGAGATGTAGTTGCCACCCTATTCTAAGAACTAAGAAACAGCAAGCTCACACTCAACCAGAAGGGGTGTGGACCCCGACTTACAGTTGCCCATTTAAGGACTGAATGAGACAGGATTCCAGAATTTGGCTAACAAAGATGCCAGCTTAGACATTGCTCTGGGTGTACCTAAGTTTTCTGGAGGAAATGGGAAGGGGGAAGGATGCTCTTCAAGTTGGCCTAAAACAATATGTCACCTGCCCACTCAGTGACTACATAAATCCATAAACAAAAACTAAGGCTCCCATTTGTTGTAGCTCAGAAAGTTGACATTTCCCCAACTTGTGATTAGTTTAATAATATTTCAAGCATTAAACAGCTCTGTTATCCTCTATCTTTAAAATTAAATAAAAATCCATGAAAATAATAAAGTCTTGCTATTTGTAAATACAAATGGCTCTGAATGTCAGATGCACGTGTCTAAACATCAGGACCCACACACACCACAGCTGTATTTGCTTGTGTAGAAACCCCATGTTGTGGTTGTGCATATCTGTAAATTAGTCTTTCTTCTTTGGATTCTATACAGCTCCCTGATTGCTTGTAAAATATAGGCATGTTTAGCTGTTATTCTATCTGAAAGAGAGGCTAATGTGCTGTTATGTTCCATAAAAATTATGAGTTGTATAATATATTATGCCTCTGCCATAGATAAGACCCTTTTCTGCTGTATCACAGGTTATAGACATGCTATTCTTTCAGGCAGTCTCAAAACTCAAAAGTTTAGGATATCAGTTTGTTTCTTAAAGATAAGTTTAATTTTCTGCTGTTGACTGATGTTAAATGTGGCTAGGAAATAAATGCCTCTTTACTCATTATCTGTGCAAAGTATTTATTCTACACTAGAGTCCAGTTAAAATTGTTAATGTCTATGTTCCACATACCTTTCAGAGTTGTTCTAATTTGCCACCATTTCACAGAGCTCATTATTCACTATGGTGATTTTCTGGAGACTGTTTCTAAATATACCAGAGATGATGGGTATATTACTTGCATAAAAACCTTCCAACCTATAAAACCTGATCTAGTCTTGGCTGAGGAAAATAAGAATGACTGAGACCATATCTAAGAGCTCTCCCCATAAATGACTTGCTTTCAGTACTACAATTATATAAAAATCCCCCACTATCAATGGAACTGGGGAAAATCATCATATTTCATAATTATTTTCACAAATCAGAAAACTTTCATTTTATAGGGATGAGCTGTAAAATGCCTGTGCCACTTTCTGCAGCTCCCATTGGCTGGGAACGGTGAACTGCAGCCACTGGGAGCTGCGGGTGGCCATACCTGCAGACAGTCAATGTACACAAACTGTCTTGTGGCCCGCCAACGGATTATCCTGATGGGCCACGTGCGGCCCGTGAGCTGCAGGTTGCCTACCACTGGTCTAACTGGAATCAAGTGGCCACCTTTCTGCCTTTTACTGTTGACATTTGTTAAAGAAATCAGGTGCACATTTTAAGAACAAGAAAACAGAGAGATCTCATCAAGGAACGGTTGAAAAAACAATAGCCCTTCCCTGTGTATCATTCATTGCTAGCTTCACACCTTGGCAAAGTCGCAGATGAAGGCTGTTCTGCTTTGACTATTGCCTTACAAATGGCTTCCGGTCTTCACTGATGTGATAATGCTAGAACTTGTTGCGACAGCTGATGCCAAGAGACCAGTCAGCTGTAGTTCCTACAAACAGAATTAAGGGAATGATGATTGTTTTTTTAATACCTAGTTCCCAGTTAATTGGACTGAGAAGAAAGAAAAATACTGACTGCATTTCTTAGAATAGGTTACTGGTGTCTATGACCAAATTATGCTTTTTTACTATTCAAACAAAAATGGTATAAACTATACTACCCTCCTGCTAATTTAAATAAATGGCTGAGGTATGCTCATTAATCTGCCTCTGCTATGTTCTGTTTTTAGAAGGACAGTAAAAATGGCAGTCTTCAGCAGATAGTTAATAGCACTGACACCTACTGGTGGTATTGTGTTTCCAAGGTTGGTTGGGTCTAGGCTGAAATCATGTGATATGCTTACAGCTTCTGGAAGGAAACAGCATGCCAAGAAGCGATATGTAGAAACAAGGGACACTGTCTTCCATAATGAATAGAGACGGGAGCTTGAAGTCTGGTGCTTGGGTTCTTTTCCTAGCTCTGCCACAGACTCTATGTACTCTACATAGGGACATAAATCAATATACTTACCAGAGTTCTTCTACAGAGTTCTTCTCTGACTTAAAATATCCTTTAATTTAGGAACCTTCTGTATACTAAAGGTGGAAATTATAATAGGATTTATTTTCTTTCCCTCCATAGGAATCCAGTACCAGTTTTTACTATAAAAGAGTTATGCACACACAAAATTAATTTCCTTTGTCTGAATAACACTCAAAAGATAAATCATTACAGCAGAGCACTTACACAATGCACCCTAGCTAGACTAGCATCACTAACTACAGATTTGTTATTTTCCTTTAAAATGAAGAATATAACACCAGGCCTAACCACTTCCCCTCCCCAAATATATGTAATACCTTACAAAATAAATACAAGGATTGGAACTTCTGCCAAACTGGCGATCTTCTGCTTTCATGTAGGCTTACCCTGGGTATTATATTAACAATTACATAAAATATATAAAAAGAAAAGGAGTACTTGTGGCACCTTAGAGACTAACCAATTTATTTGAGCATGAGCTTTCGTGAGCCACAGCTCACTTCATCAGATGTGTACATCTGATGAAGTGAGCTGTGGCTCACGAAAGCTCATGCTCAAATAAATTGGTTAGTCTCTAAGGTGCCACAAGTACTCCTTTTCTTTTTGCGAATACAGACTAACACGGCTGTTCCTCTGAAACCTGTCATAAAATATATAGTTGTACAACATACCCAATTGTTTCAGCATCTACACTATTGAACGTATACAGAATATCAAATAAAAAGAACTTGACAATTATGTCCAAATAACCTATAAAATTACAGGAAACTGCATTGAGATCCACCTCACAGATTCAGTCTGGGTTACTCCAGGCAGCTCTATATTCTCCCTGTAGGGCTGGGCTAGATCTGAACAGAGCTCACACTGGCTACCAGTGTTGTACCCTGACACAACTCACTACTGACTGGTCAGGAGCTTCTAGCTTCTAACAAA